GGGGGGGGGGGGGGGGGGGCATTGATAGAATTAACAAAACATAACCATTAAGCCAGTGCAAAAGTTTTTCAAAGGCCAAATTTAACTCCATAAATCAGATGTGCTTTTGAGTTGTCAAAAAGTGTTACTTTATCCAAATATTAATCTGTTCATATCTGAAACACTGAAGAATCAGCTGGATTAGGTGTGAACTTCTGTCAGGGGGTTTGATCCTGCATTGAGTCTCTTTTAGTACAATCTTAAGCCAGTTGTCTTAAATTTAGGACCTCCCTGTCATTTGCCAACAGATCTATAACTATCACACTAGCTTTAAATGAATCCACCTGCGGCTCATTTTGACTACTTTGACCACTGAAATCACGATCTTTTCATATTTGAATCAACAAGTAATTGCTGAAACTACACCACTTTAACCACCAAAACAATACTCTCAACTTTCTCATCTCAACGTCCACCCTGAACCATATTAGGCAAAGAACCTGAAAACTGATAATTCACGTTCTGGAATAGGTGGATACTGGATACTTTTATGCATTTTTATTTTGTTTGCTTTATACAAAATGTAATATTTTAGCACTAAAAGCTGTTCTGGTAAAAGGGGTATCAGCTTCTGGACCATTTGTATGCTAACAAATCAAGTTTTAGAGATAAAGATTAGAAAAGGTAGTTGAAATTAATTAAAAAGGAAGTGGTATCACTATGATAAGTTTCATTAATGGTTAATCTAACACTACTAAGTTTTTCAAATGAATCTTCCAATAGAAAAACATTCTTTGGGTATAAAGGCAACATTCTAATGCATAAATCAGCAATAAAAAGAATATAAATAGAGATAAACATGAGTCAGGACTACCTTTGATAACTTGGCCTTGGCCGACCCTGAAAGAGAAAGGCTGCTGCCCTGGATCCTTAGTGCTGTTACACATAAAAATTCAGCAAATATATACACAATATCCTGCATCAAACTTCCAAAACAAAACCGTAAGCTTACCTCCAGAATTTCTGATTCAGGTCTCTATTTTTCCCTGCAGGCAAAGAACAAGAAAAACAATATCAATCCAACCTCTACTAAAAACTGTGCATAATAAAATTTGAGATTCAACCCTTTGTCCCTCCGATTCCGATTGATCCATTAACAAATAAGCTTACTGAATTAGCTACCATGGAAAATTCTAACTCTTTTTGTGGAGCGAAAAATAAAGGGAGACTAACCAAAACCAGTGCAGTGGACGGTGACAGTTTGACCAGGTTGTGGTTTGGGCCCATTTCCTGCTCTCACGACTTCCTTCTCTACTCCCATTTTCCGGTGATTTTGATGATTTCTCTGATTTTGGTTTAGGGTTTGACGACGGGACGGTAGTGCCTGTGAATTTCAAGGATCTATCCACGTGATTCGCGCGTGCGGTATCGTAATATCTTGGATACTTCCCTTTTATGCCATGTTTAATGCCCGTTTGTTTTTTTTCGAAAAATTGATTATTTTTTCGAAATTGATGTTTGGCCATAAAATTTTTAATTTTCAATGAATTTTAAAATAAATTAAAAACTCTAAAAAGTTATTTTTCAAAATTTTTCGTCAGATTACCCACAAAAATAACCCAATAATATATTCATGTCAAAACACAACTTTATTCCAATACGATTTTCACTTGAATTTTTTTTTTTCACTTTTTCCTGAATTTTACAATTCTTATGTCCGAACGCCCAATTAGACTATTTTTATCTTAGAAAATTCTTATTTAATCCTTGTTATGTATGATTAAGTATATTACTTTTAAATTAATAAATACATATATTTTTGTCCCTTTACATAGGAACATATTAAATTAATTAAAACATATTTTTTTATTAGCAAAAAAAAGGGAACATATTATTTTTAGATTTTTTTTTTTATAATTATATTACTGTCCAATATGAAGTAACAGTAGTAATTTAACATAACTAAATAGTGTTGTAAACAATAAATTTGCGTCGAGAAAATAAAATCAAGACCGAAAATATCGCAACAATCGTAATATTTTATTTCGAATATTTGAGTGTTACAATCTCTATGATTCCTCTGATTCTACTTTTCCAGTATAAATTCAAGGGCCTTTGAGCTTGATCTTGAATTTGAATTTGATTTATCCGTCACGAACACTTTGATTGTTGCCACGAATTGTATCACGAACAAGTAGCCTTGATCTTGAACGCCTTGTATTTAATTTGACTTCGTTCTTGATCTTGAATACTTGAAATTTGTGTTGAAGTGCTTGAATGCTTGAACACTTGCAGTTTGCAGAGAATTGTAGCATTTGATCCACGAGCTCCCTTGTGTCTTCTTGTTATAACTTCTGGTGTCCTTTCTGAGATATGAAGACCCCTATTTATAGTTGTGGGAGGGAAGAGTTATGACAAGAACAAATTTTTTCCGACCAATCAAATTAAAGTGTGACAAGGCCTCATTTGATTGGCCAGAACATGTCACTTGCACATGTGGCACGGTTTCATTGGCCCTTTAATTTGACTTGGCATACCTTGTCATTTTGACACGTGGCATAATCCTGTTGGCTTTTCCGTTTGACTTGGCGCGTCACGTCATTTGACACGTGGCATAAAACTGGGCCTCTAGGAAGATGGCATATTGGGCCTAAGGAAGTGGGCTCATCACTTTAGCCCAATTAAATGGGCTAGCCCAATGGATTAAGACTTATTTATTTAATCCATATATATTGGACTTATATAATTAATTAAATTATATTAGCCCATAATATTTGTTTGGACTATTATATACTGAATTTAAACTATAATCCAAATTACTTTGCTCTGATTTAAACTTGATAAAATTTAAATACTTACAAATGCCTCCTACTTCAAGGCATGTCGGGTATATAATTTGAAAACTAGACTTGAAGTATCACAACAACATTTGCTTGTTCTTTTCCCGGCCGTTTAGCTTAGTTTAAGATTAAAGAACATAGATCTTAAATACCAAGCAATTCTACATAGTGCATACTTTTTAAGGCACTTAAAATTGGACTATTAGTGAGCACATGATGGCTTTCTTTCACGTGCCATCACTAAAGCAATTTTGAATTGGCAAATGATATTATTCTTGGTGCTGTCAGTGTCCTAATCCAAGTAATAATCTGAAACTCATTCTCCTTAATATCTATTCCTCTTATTCGGATAGAGTATTATGTAATCCGAGTTGGGAGTCAAATTATAGTATCTCAATTCATGCTGCAAATCAATTGTTTAAGCCGCCTTAGCCGCTTATCCCACAACGGCAATATGCTATAGCAAGCCATCTATGAAGATCTATATAAAGCCATATGCTTGTATTTGTTGAGCATCGATTCGCAAAATCTGCAAGCCATTTGAGTCTAGTTTTGTGGACTTAGAAGTATTAACGCGAATGTAAGTTTTTTCCTTATACTTTTCTTCCTTTATTATCCTTTTTGGCTTTTTGTAGGTCCAAGAAGAAAAGTCGTCGAGTGCTAAGTGACGAGTGACTCCATGACATCCCGTCGAAGGATAAATCCACAACAACTTATAGACGGTTAAATCTGTAATAATTTATAGACGGACGGATCTTGCAACAACTTATAGACAGATCAGTTTGCAACAACTTATAGACGGATAAATCCATAACAACTTATAGACGGACAAATTCACATCAACATATTACGGACACATCCACCTCAATATATAGACGGACAAATCCACATCAACATATAGACGGACAAATCCGCATCAACATATAGATGGACACATTCACATCAACATATAGATGGACAAACCCACATCACCATATAGACGGATAAATCCTCATCACCATATAGATGGACACATCCACATCAACATATAGATGGACAAATCAACATCAACATATAGACGGACACATCAACATCAACATATAGACGGACACATCCACCTAAATATATAGACGGACAAATCCACATCAACATATAGACGTACAAATCCACATCAACATATAGAAGGATAAAATCCATGAAGATGACAACTTAAGGTGCAAAGGGACTTAAACGTCCACCTTAAGATTAGAAAATTAATTTTTTTAGGACAAACCTACGAAGAGGTCAACTTAAGGTGCAAAGGGACTTCAACGTCCACCTTAGGATTATAGTTCCTTTTAAGGAAAAAACCCGCGAAGAGACCAACTTAAGGTGCAAAGGGACTAACATGTCCACCTTAAGATTGAAAAATTAGAAAGGCTCAACTTAAAGATGGTGGATTTGTAGACCTCAACTTGAAGACCGGCAAACTTGATGATTTGACGGGCTTGAAGATTTGGCGGAATTTGACGCGTCAACTTGAAGAGCGATGGACTTTAAACTTCAACTTGAAGAATTAGCAGACTTGAAGACTACAACTTAAAGAATTGGAGGGGTTAAACAACTCAACTTGAAGACCGACGAACTTAAGGACTTCAACTTGAAGACTGATGGACTAGAAGACTTGGAGGAATTGAATAATTCAACTTGAAGACCGGCGAATTTGAAGACTTGAAGGGATTGAATACTTCAACTTAAAGTTTGGCGGACTTTCAGACTTCAACTTGAAGGGCGGTGGACTTGAAATTTTTAATTTGAAGAGCGACATACTTGAACATTTGAAGGGCTTATCTAATTCAACTTGAAGACCGACAAACTTGAGGACTTCAAATTGAAGATTTGGCCTTCTATTAAAAGTCTACATCCATCCATCGAAGATGCCAATTTTCTATGGAGGCTTTCCCGCATTGAACCACCGATCTCAGATAAGGGACAAAGTTCTTGTAAGCCCGATTTTTAAGTTCCAATCAAGTGGATTATATTCCACCATTCTTCCTTCGAATAACGATTGGGGTAACATGTATCTTTTGAACTTATGCGACTGAACTCAGAATGAAACTCTAAGCTGCCTACGTACCTCAGTGAAGAGGATCAAGTCATACCGTAGTTCAGAATGTGTGGTTTTTTTTTTATGTCCTAACTTTTGCCTACACCGCCTCTTTCGAAGTTTTCGACCTAAACCGACTTTTTTTTGTGGGGGGCGTACACAGTTTAGACTCATGCGGGCTAGGAGTGTAGCAACATGCAGTTTAGGCTCATGCGTCAAGGAGCGTTGCAACTTCAAGGATAATACTTCTTTATAAAAACTTGCTTATTTATAGGGCCAATTCTTTAACAAGTTGCATAGCGTCTTGTTGAATGACTCAGCTAGACCATTGGCGGCAGCATTGTACATAGAAGAGTTATGTTGCTTGAAGCCAAAGAGATCACAAATCTTGTTCATCAACCTATTGTCGAACGGCTTGCCATTATCCGTTATTATGTAACGAAGAATGCCAAAGCGATAGATAATGTTTACTCGGATGAAACTTGCAACATTTTCTTTCTTTACCTCCTTAAAAGCAACAACTTCAGCCCATTTTAAGAAGTAGTCAGTTGCAGCCAAGATGTATAGGTGACCACCAGAGGACTTTGGCAGTGGTCCTACAACATCGAATCCCCAAGCGTCAAATGGCCAGGATGCAACAGTCGGGTGCAAAACTTCAGGAGGTTGATGAATAAAATTCGCATGGAATTGACAAGCCTTGCATCTTCGAGCGTAGTCCAAGCAATCTTTTACCATCGTTGGCTAATAATATCCCATCCTTTTTATATGGAAGTGGAGCTTTGGTCCAGACTGGTTTGACCCACATACTCCAGAATGTGCCTCTTGCAAAGCTTGGAGTGCTTCTTCTTTCCCTAAGCATCGCAAAAGTATTCCCTCGAATGACCTTCTGTATAGAGTATCTTTGTAATAAAGGAAGCGAGGTGTACAGCGACGGATTTCAGTCCTTCTCCTCGGATTTTCCGGAAGTATCCCATAGCATAAGTAGTCGATAATGGGTTGTCGCCATTATTCTTCCCCAACTTCAGAAACAACGACAAGATGCTTGAGTTTATTTTCTTCACCTTCGGCCTCATTTGGCGGCGGTACTACCCATTTTTGGCAGACAGTAACTTGCGCTTGATCAGGCAGGATTAGCAATAAAGTTAGGGCAGCTAAAGCACCCGCCTTCTTGTTTTCTTTCCTTGGCACATGTTGAATAGTCACATCACCGAACCACCCTATTAATTTTTTAGCGTAATCATGATATGGACGTAGTTCAGGCTTCTTGACCTCTTAACTACCTAAGAGCTGATTGACCACTAATTGGGAGTCACCAAAGACTTACAATTGTAGTTGCTTCATATCAACGGCCATTTCAAGACCAAGTATTAATGCTTGATACTCAGCAACATTGTTGGAACAGAGTTGTGTCGAGGTGAAGGAGTAGGGCAAGACTACATCTTGGGAAGTGACAAATACTACGTCAGCACCAACTCATCCACGATGTACAGCACTATCAAAGTACATCTTCCATGGAG